TTAACCTTTGAGGTTGTCATTAAAGAGGCCCACCACACCCTCTGCACTGGTACTGCCAACATGCCTTTGAGTCCCCCTGTAAAAATTCTGGGCTGGATGGACCAGAAATTTGACCAAGTGTGGCTTTTCCTTTTTAATTATGACATAAGTAAGGGAATGGAACATGAATTCCTTATGGGTATTTCAAGATAGTTGTAATTTATGGTATACTTGAATCTATTTTCACTGATAGCCTGAAATACACAGAATCCTATTTAAAGCAAAGTTTAGCCCTAGAGAAATGGAATCTTTTTAAAATTTACTTGCAGTAGAATGAATTGTCACAAAGAGAGCAGGTAGAGGATTTTCCTTTAACATCCATCTTCTAGTTAGCATTTATTTTGGGTTATTTCATGCCCATGTTTCTTGAACTAGTTACATTTCAGAGAAAATAACATTCATACAAGGAAAAACAGGAAAGCAGCTTAAAAGAGTGTCCCTGTGTAAAAATCCTCCCATGGAAACTTACATAGTGCAGCCTCTGTCTCACCAGTCTTCAGGAAACCCAAGGACAGACCCAGTGAGGGTTGCTCGCGGCTTCTGTCTCATTGGTGTGACACTGCTGGCTTCCACAGAATGCACTGATGTCTTCTCTACCTTATTGAAACACTGTACGTGCTCTGGGCATACCATGAAAAAGAAACAGAGAGGAGAAAGACGGACTAAGAGGTATCATCCAGTTCCCAGAGAAATAATCTTATCTGTGGGAACGAAGTACGAAAAGAAAAACGAACAATTTGAAAAGCTGAGAAACAGAGGAAGGGGAAAGGAACAAATGAAAAGACAGGGTTGTTCTGGAGTAAAATTGTTTAAAAAGAGAAATAGGAATAAATGTGGACTGAAATGGTAACGGACCATTGGGTCATAAGCAAAATGTTGAGGCTGCCCAATTCTTTGAACGTTCCTACTTCTCATTGTAGAATCTCTGCTCTCTCTCTTCACTCCCTCATCCTGACCCCATATCCTCTGGCTGCTGGCAGACCATTTCAGCAGCTAGTGGTAAGCCAGTATTCCCCCAGGTCATACCTTGCTTCTAGGCCATGGTCATCTCTCTGTATCAACATGTATCCGTGTTCAGCCCATTTTGTTGCCCTGGCCTGAAAATATTTTCATTTTAATAGAGATATGGTTCTCTACTTCTAGTTGCAAGGAGAGATAGTTTGGGAGCAGAGGCTGCCTCACATTCTCAAATAATAGGTAGAAAGCCAACAGCTTTTGTCTAAGTGTCGTAACTGCGCTGACCATAGCTTTCTTCACCTGTAGAATGGTTATAGTGATGCCTTTCATTTCTGTTACAACTGACACTTTTACATACTTTTACCTATTTGACCCTCACAGCTACCCTCTGAGGGAAGGAATGTTTCTCTGTTTCACAGACAAGAGAACTGGAGCTCTTAGTAAGGTTAGGTAACCTGTCCTCAGGTAATACGTAGAAAGGCCAGTGCATAAGGACAGGAGTCAGCTAGCCAAGACAGTGACTTGATGTGCCGTGATAGAGGCTGCCCAGGTGATGGTGCCTGGTACAGGAGCCACGTGGCTGTGTGGACTCAGTGTGGAATCAAAGTTCTCCATATGGGTTTGGAGTCACAGGCACGGTAGGAATCCTGGCCCTGGACCTTATCATCTGGCATCCCTTGGGTAAGTCACCTTCTCTGAGGGTATATTTCCTCATTTGGAAGATGAAGATAATAAAACCTACCTTACAGAACTGTTGGGAGGATTAAGTGAAACTGAGTGTCATGTACTTAGTACTGTGCAGAGCACATGAGAAACAGGCAAAAAAGTATGGAAGCTCTTGGAATGATGAGTACTAGTAATACTGGGTGTACATGCTAGCTCAGAACATGGAGTCCACTGGCCCAAAGGTAGAGTTAGCTACTATTGACCAGGCCATAGGCAAACATAGCCAAACATGGTTGGCACAAGGGCAGAAAGAGGTGGCTGTGTGCGCTGTGGGTGGGACTGATCAAAACTACATAGGACTAGGTTGCAGTTCTTGTAGAAGAGTGGTTCTCAAATTTGAACCTGCATAGGATCATCTGAAGGGCTTGCCAAATGACAGATTGCTGGACTTCATGCCCAGAGTTTCTGACTCAGGAGGTCTGGGATGCGGCCTGGGAATTTACATTCCTAATGAGTTCCCTGGTGTTGCAATAATCTGATCTTGGGAGCCCACTTTGAGAATTATTGTCTTAGAATAAAGAATCCTCTCCAGTTCCAGGCTTCAGAGTTTCCTTGGTTTTATTTCCTCTTTCCTTCTTACTAAAAATGCACTTGAAAACTGCCAACCCTGTTCTGAGAGATGAAAGGGAAAATTGCTCGTAACTGGTCCAGGAAAGCTAGGGCAGTCAGAGAACCACCGGAAATCAGGGTGGCAATGACTGCCCCAGCTAGGAGAAGCCTTAGAGCGGAACAAAGGCCAAAGTCAGACAGGAAAGAATCAGAGACAGCCGTGATCACTGAACCTTTTTCTGCTTGGATTTTCCCTTGTGGACTTTTTCTTGCTTAAGCTTTTTATCCCTTTTATAACTACTGCTATATTTGGGGGCATAGGGGAAGGAATCACTGTATTTTCTTTTTGCACCTTTCCTATTCCCTTGTTTTGTACTTTGTCAGCCACAAGGCCAGTATGAACTTCTCAGAGAGCCTTGAGCAGCTTGCACACCTTATGGTGGGCCAAGCACAAAGTTTAATGAAATTAGACATTTCTCTTGAAGTAAAATATGTGCTCTGTGCTCTGTATCATGTTACAGCAAATTTGAAAACCAAGGGCTGTGTTCCAAGTCACTGCCTGGCAGTTGTCAGTAATGAAGCCTCTGCTACCTGTTAAACACAGTTAATGAAGCCATCTGTGTTTATAAATTACAGGGTTTGTCTTTGTAAGTAGTAACCCGAGAGGATGAGAGGATAGGTAGCCTCGGATCTAGACTTAGGGATTGAAAGCATCTGTCCTGTGAATTTCAAGGGGGTAGGATCTGTGGTCTTATTGAAAATACGTATTTCTATTGTTAATCTAAGGAAACTGAAACACAAATAGGAAACTCTGCTATGCTTATAAGAATGCAAGTATCTTCAGCTCTTGAGGCAGAGATACTTTATATTTTCCGTATAGGGTGTCTGGGCCTGTTCAGTGCCTTTAAGCTATTAGGTATTTGCCTGTACCAACCTGCCCATAATTCATGAAAGCAGGCCTCCCTCTTTCAGAATTCATGGCTTCTGTCCTGAGCCATTCGCACCAGCTTATCTCATACTCATTCCTAACTCTTCTTCAGTCTGTTCCAATTTCTGAGCTCATGACCCATTTTTCCTCTTACCACCTTGCCTCACCCGTGGACCTGGCACTTGGTTTGACTTCTCCAACTTGAACGTTTTGCAGTCTTCTTTGGCCAGTAATCAAATTCCATGTTTGGCTATCCTGCTGTTGGCATCCATGGATGAGTGCCCTACTGGGACCAACCTGTTCCCTGGGACTTTTACATAGTCCCCTGTGTAAGATACACCAGGTCCTGGGAGCAGAACTCAGACATGAGAGTTGTGTGTCTCCTTGATATTGATTTAAGATGGCACAGAAAATAAATAGAAAGGAAAGAACTGGATCTCCCAGTTGTTATATATGGAAGAGCCAACAAAATTTCTATTTGTCTAAAGTACATGAGGAAGAAAAATGATGGTTTATAGTACATACTATTTAGTAGTTCTTCTCAGATGTGAAGAATTACTGTTTATTTTCTCCTCTCTTTCATATCCACCTCCCCACAAGAGCCCACCCGTTGATGGATTAGCAAAACTTATTAATTCTACCTTCCATAATGTCTCTTGAGTCCATCATCTCTTGCCTGAGCTGTTTGTGAGAGTATCCTAATAACTGATCTCCCTGTGGCCAATGTCTGTTTCTCCCCTGGTCCCACTCTTCTGTGCCCCTCACCCCTGCCACTCCATTCTCCACACTTCTGCCAAAGTAATCTTTCTGAACACCAATCTGGTCATGTTACTCCTTTTAACACTTTTCATTCCCATTTATGTATCTGACTGTTATTATATATATATATATATATATGGATATGATTCTGGTTTTCTAGAAGATAGACTCTTCTAATTATGACAGTAATATTAATCTACTATGTCTCTATTGGGCTTTAGAGTGTTTTCACAACTATTATGTAATTTTTAAATCATAATCCTATTACTTAGATATTATTTTATCTCTTTATTTGAGAAGAGAGTATAACTTTTACATATCTATAAATATGTATACTTTTATATATATATAGTGAATGACACAGTATGCAGTGGATATATACTTAAAATTATATATTGGATCTATTTGGCTGAGTAGATTAGGTACTCCTAAATTTAGTAGTCAAATGTTCAGTTTCAAAGAATCTATTTGTTAAATCTTGGCTGCTGGAAAATCTCAGTTGTTTAGAACATGCAATTACTGAGGTCAAAGTTGGTGGTTCAATTCCCATTTGTTTAAGTTAGTCTCATTTTGTTTCAGGGACATAGTCTGTAACCCTAACCTCAGACAGCTATTCCACAATTGCGGGTCCCAGTGGAACGCGGGTAATAGAATATGGATAAATCTACACCATGACCCTATCCCTGTTACTTAAAAACTCAAATATAATGGCAATTTGTTAGTATTATATTGACTTTTGTATATGCAGTTATAAAAAAAAGTTTTAGTAACAATCATCTAGACAAAGAGACAGTGTGATTCTCTAAAGTGGTCCTTTGAGGACTTGTAGGAATGCTCCATAAACATTTCATTCCAATAGTAATTTCCTAATTCTACAGTTCTGGTCTAATAATGCTCGTTTCATCTTTACTTATGACTTAGATAACAATTATTAATATAGCTTCAGATAAATCCTGTAATAATTCCACTTACTAATTTCTACATTCTCTCTTAAATGGATAACAAAATATTGTACAGATGACACTAGCTTTCTCATTCACAGCAATGTGATGAGCATCTGGCTCAACCTTATGTACAGACAACATTACAAATTGCCTGTATGGTAGCACTGAGAAGATCCTGACCTGAAATTTCCTGGCTCCCTCTTATCTATTCTGGGTGAAGGTAAGAATCCATTGTTAATTTGCAAATATCTCTGAAAGGAATGATAAGTCATTGTCAGTCATTAGCACCTGAATATAAATTAATTTATCAGATACCTTCCACCTAACACTTAACTAACAAAGGTGCCTTAAGGAAGACACCTGGTATATTTTGATGGGAAGATAGTAGAGACAAAGGTTCATATTCCCCTAGAACAGGCTCAGGTCAGATCCTCAGGACATTATAAAGGACACATGGGGGTGATATAAGGCTGTTCCTAGCATAGGAAGGCAGAACAGCATCAGAAGACAAGCTTCTCTTACATTCCTGTTTGACTTTAAACCAGCAATAATAAGAATATATGAAATGGTATTATACTAAAAACATCCTGTAATGGTTAAGAAACCAACTTCTGGCATCAGACAGACTTGGTTCAGTTTGTAGATCTGTCACTCTCAAGCTGTGTGGTCTTAGGCAAGTGTCATAATCATTCTGAGCCTTGATTTGCTGATCTTTAAAAGTACTAATGTTACCTACCATACAAACCATACAGGATTGTCTTGAAATTAAATGGGATAGTTTAGTTCATGTAAGGCACTTACTGGAATGTCTGAGTCATGGTAAGTTATCAATAAATATTAGCCATTACTATACAAATACAAATTTAAGGTTGCTTATTCTCAAGTATATATAATATATTCTCAACAGAAGACTACTTCAGTGGAGTCAGATTTATACTACCTCAAAATGAAAACCATCAATTTTTTGATACTGAAAATAAATAAACATAAGAAATAAGCCCAAGAGATACAAGAGGACAGCAGTTTCCTTATGTTCCAACAGGGACCTGAAAGCTATTCTTTGGAAAGATGAGACCTAATCAAATGTGTATAGTTGACAACTTAATTAGAACCATGAGAACTCAGAGCAGTGTAGAAGGTCAGCAGATGAAACAAAGCTGGAAGCAGAAGCAAATGTTACTTGCTCACCTAGAAACTATATATGACCTCTGGCCAGCCTGTAAAAATGAAGTGTAGTATGCTTCACAAAAAACAATTTAGAGGGAGAGGATGAAGGTGCAACTCCTTTTCAAGATAAGACATCACTGATGACCAGTTCAAAGGTCGTGTTTATTATTATATATGTTGACTTTTAGTTGGCAGTTCAGAGAAAATAACATTTGTGTTTGTGTCTTCCTTGGACCCAAAGATACTTTTCTTGCTCAGAATCCGCCAATGCGCTGGCATAAACAAATCTCAAATCACCAAGTTAAAACTGTCACTTTTTTAGGATATAAACAATGACTCCTTACCTATGTGACTAAAAGCAGGCCAAAACACTAGGTTTGATGGAATGTTAAAAGTATGGCTGCTGACTGTCACCTGCACAATAACCCCTGACAGCCATTTCCTGCTTGGCAGCACAGCGGAGAGGGCTGGAGAGTGTGGGTGATTGACTTGTCATCTTGGCTTGTCATTATGACTTGAATAATCCCTTCTGCCTACCTGTCCTGCACAAGCAACATTTTCTTTAATTATGAAAGACATACTGTCAGTAACTGGTTCTAAGGAAAAAGTTCATGGTTTGGTTCTGCCAGATTCAAGAAATGTGAGTTTTCAAGTCAATGGAACAACAACATTTATATATAGCACCTTCTAGCATACAAAGCATGTTTTCATCTATGATTTCATTTAATTCCTACAACAATCTGTGAGGTAAGTCATAGCTGTTTTTGCTTCTACTGTAAGGAAACTGAGTTTCCAGGTGGAAGGATTTGCTCCAAACTTCATAGCTGATAAATGATGAACATTCCAGCACTGACTCCAAGTTCTAGGCTCTTGACATCACACCTAATTTTGATTTACACCATTACCATCTAACAGGGTTCCCAGCCTGTAATCCTTGTGTCTGACCTCTCCTTCACACCCTTTCTTCTACTAGTCATGAGATGCTGTTCATTTTACCTCCCTAATGCTTCCCAATCTATCCATTGTGGAACTTCCAATCCCCACTTCTATGGCCCTAGCCCAAGCTACCGTTGTTTCTCATCTGGATTATTGTAATAATTTCCTAACTGGTCTGATGATAATAGTCTGATCTGTCCTCTGTGTTGCTACTTAAGTGGGCTATTTAAAAGTGCAAATCTGAACATGACACTCACATGCATAAAATCCATCAGTGGTCCCTCATCACCATCAGAATGAAATCCTGATTCCTTAGCATGGCCCTGCCCCATCCCTTTCCTCCTTTCCTTCTTATACATGCAGTGCTCTGGCTTGACTTAGCTCTTTTTTCCTCCTTGAAGCTCTCATGACCTTTCTTATTTCTGTGTTTTTCATTTTGTTGATCCTCTTCCTCTTGTGGTTTACTTTATTATGTAGGAGCAGCTTATAACAAATATCTTCGGTGAGATATTCTAATCCTGATATAGTGCCCCTATTTTCTTCAGATAAACTCCTGTTAACAAGTTTAGTTGTAATTATTGATCTACATGTTCATCTGACCCACTAGACTCTGAGATAAGCCCCGAAGACTTGTCTTATGAAATGTATACCCAGCCGTTTTGCTAACTATAGCATTTAGAACATAGTACAGAGTAAAAAAAAGAATGTTTATTATATGAAACTCACCAACAGTGATTAATTATCTACCATATACCTAAGCCTATGACACCAGGTCCAAACCTTACTGAGAAAAGGAGAATTCTGCAATCCATTTTGCTAACGAACAACATAAGACCTTTTATAATTGAGATAAAGTGTGGTACTGACTGAAAGCCTATAGCAGTTCAGAAGAAGATTTGAAATTAGGGGGGCACTTTTCTCCTTTAGAAATGATTACTTATGAAGGGCCAACAGCAATTGAATATTTGCCATCTGGTAACTGTCACAGTACTCACTGTAAATCAGATTTAATAAACCCAAGTCCTTTTAAAGGTGAAGGCGTTTTGTGTTATTTAGGGAGAAATACCATCCCCCAGGAAACTGACTCAAAGAAAGTACTTAGAAACTGAAACTGAATTCCTCCGAGTGTTAGGAGGCAGAATTCTACCTAGCTGGGATGTGACGTGGTTGGAATGCCTTTTTTAAGGGAATTCATTATTTTCATTGAGGAGAAGAAAGCACACTTTTCATTTAACCAGTCAAAGTATGAATAAATCAGGTGGATGTTTGGGGCTACTCATCAAGTTGCCTGGCCCAGGTCAGCACTGCCAAGTCTCCTCTTAGACTTAAGCTAGAATGTGATGCAAGCGGTTTTCCTGTTTATGGCTTGTACCCTCTGTAATAATATAGCACAACCTGCACAAATGTTTCCCTCCACTATCAGTTAACTAACTGGAAAACTCTATGTCTTCTCTCAAAAGTGATTTTGAACAGCACCCCAACCTCCACTACAGAGAGTTGGAAGTAGTTGTTTTCATTTATAAATGTGGGCACTTAAGTATTTTCCCAGTAAAGGTGATGTTAATCAGAATTGGCTTTAAAACACAGATGTGCACTGTGGAGCTCTAAATGGGGGATATTATTCAAGAAAACCAAACCAACAGATCCTTAGTGAATATTGGCTGGCTGTAAAGCTTTGTGCTTATTGATGTGTGGGACATGTGGCAGCATAAAACATGGTCCTTGCTTCTGTATTGTTTAGTTAGGTGTATAAGGTTCCCTTAGCTAGATCAGAGATGAGAGGAGGAAGTGAAGGTGACCCTCAGTTGGTATGTTATGAAGAAAAAACTGAGGCCTTTTAAGAAAACTAGCAGAGCAGACAAGCTAGGAAAGAAGAACATGGGCTGGAAGACAGAGATTGGCTCAAGAGTTAAGAAAGGAAAAAAGGAAGATCCGAAGCAGAGGACCTTAGATGCGTGGTGGTGGGTGATGCCAGGCAGAACCTGAGACAGAAAAGCACAAAGGAAAGCAAGTTCATGGAGAGAGCAAGGCCTGTGTCATGGAGATAAAAAGAAGCAAATTCACAGAGCAGAGGAGTCAGCATGCACCAGCTGTGTGGATGAAGATGCAGACAACATACATGGAAATGGGTTCTACCAGAAACAAATTGGTTCCATCTAGGGTGCAACCAAAACAGAACCTTACTCTTCCAGAAACCAGAGTGGGAACCAAAGATAACAGTTCCACCCTGGACTGGAGAATGGAAGTAAAATGAACCAACTAGATTTCCATCCTCTTAAGAAAATGTCTGTGGATTAAAAAGGATCGCCAGCAGATAGATCCTAAGTACAATCCACCCATGGTTTATATCTGTGCAAAGTGAACCCCATAGTATACCTGGGAGAAACCTTACTGGTAAACAGTTCACAGTTTGGAACTTCTTTATGTTGGAGGGAGATTTAGTTATAAACTAAGTTACTTGTGCTGGTCCTCAGTGGACAAGGCGGAGAGAGAGGAATGCTACTGGGAAATCCAGACAGTCTGGTGAACATGGGGAACCTGTAACTCTGAATAAAGAAATCTCCAGCCCCATCACACATAGCATCTTAAGAACTTAAGATATGTCTACATGAGGAAATCGTGCCTCAGGGTCTGAAATTCCCATCAGTAGATTCTATCTTTCATGACCTTGTGGGAACAGACATTTTAATTGAACTAAGATATTGTTCCCTGGGAGGAATAAAACTTTATCTGACTCATTAGTTTTGTCTCCATTCATTCAACAACCATTGAGGGCCTGGCACAATGCTAGGGGATACACATATGTATAAAACTTAATTTCTCCCTTCAAGAAGCTCACAACTGAGCCCAGGGCCTTACATGAGGAACTTATATGAAAATTCATCTTATGAGGAGGTGTAGGTGAGACAAAATTACATGGTAGATTAGAGAGAATTTACAGGAGGCTAGGGAATGTTCAGAGCCTGGAGCTCTGTGGGGAATGACAGCCTTAGCACCTGGGGAGGTAGGGAGAGGATGATAGGAGGAGAAGGGCCAGGGCTGGGGATGGGAAATTCTGTGGACTGGAACACAGACGAAGCTTATAAGAGAGAGAGAGGAAGAAGCCAGAACTGGAGG